TAAACCCTATAACCCTAAAGCCCGAAAGCCCTAAACCCTGAGCCCGCGCTTTGCAGGATATGGGATCCAGATCTGCGCGTGGAGCCACTCGGACTACAGTTTGGTTTAGGGTTTAGGGTTTTAGGGTTTAGGGTTTCCTTGCCGGTGCTGTGCTGCAAACGGCTGTAAACTGCAGGTGTCATCGGGTTTAGGGTTTAGGGATCTAAACCCCAAACCCAAAACCCTAAACCGATCTAACCTTAGCATTGGGGTACGTACTCAGCCCCTAAGTTCAGGTTCTCCACCGAACCTGCCGCAAAAAGTGCTGCTCGGCTGGACTGGTAGGATTAATGATTTAAGGTTTAGGGTTTAGGGCTTTGGGTTTAGGGTTTAGGGTTTAGGGTTTAGGGTTAGGCTTAGTGGTTTAGGGCTTAGGCTTAGGGCTTAAGGTTTAGGGTTTAGGGTTGTGGAAGCATGGGCACTCTCGAGCAGGGTTGCACCTCAAGTATGGCTATTGGAACCAGCCATCTGATCTACCTTCAATATTTTTTGTAGGTTCTTATTATCAACCCTGGTAAGGAATTTATAACCCTACAAAAAAGTAGGTTTAGGGTTTAGGGTTTAGGGTTTCGGTATAGCCCGAAGCGTTTAGCCCTAAAGCCCTTCGCAGGTCATTCGAAAGTTCGATGGCTACAACATGGCAAGAGGCGGTCGGGACGATGCAGCGACCTTCGACGCGAACGTCGACCAGTGCTTTCGCAGGAAGTTTTAGGATTTATAGGGTTTGGAGTTTAGATTTCCCTAAGGGTCCAAGTACCTAATAATCATATACTCTCCCGAACAGTAACCTACATAACTACTATCCGAAACCTAAGTACCTGATTATTAAGTCCTTTGGACCCTTTGGGTTTTATGCCTGTGTCCTACATACAGCTGTGAGGTCTGACATGGCCTTGACTATTCAGTAATAGCATCCAGTTTGAAGGTTCTGCAACGTGGTTTTACACGTTTTTTGGGTCTGACTACTTAGTAATGGTATCCAGTTTAAGAGTTCCGTAACTGGGCTATAGTTGTAGGCGTGTAAAAGGGTACAAAGAGGAATAACTAGTGAGTATCGCCAGATAGTTTCTGCACTGCCAAGTTCGAAAGCAACTGAGTATCTTACTTTGCGGCTTCCCGTGGTAAACCAAAACTTCTAGCACGCCTGAAGCCGAACCACCCCGTGTTCTTGAGATCTTTTCCCGAGAATACCCATTTCAGGCCTGTTGCTTTAGCTGCGATTGTCCTACAGCAAGTTCACATTCGCAGCACCTATGAGCGTGTCAGGCTCTGAGGCTAGTTTGATGTACATTGCTCCGAGCAGAACCTGCTGTGAATACTGGCTTAGGTTTATTGCCCTAGACTATATGCCTCCCTATCAGGTACTCCTGGGCCAATGTTCTAGAATACTGCCTAGGTACATGGACCCTAAAGGGTTACTTTCCAGCACTTCTTTCGGCTAAGCCAAGATACATGAATCCGGATCTCTTCTACGAGTCCGTCGGCTTCGGCAACTGGCGCACGCCACATGGTTGGGCGAAAGGCGAGGCTTCTAAGCTCCTAGCGGTTTGCCCGGCCCTAAACCCCATAATGTAGCCCATAAGCTTAAAGGAATCCCTAAAGTAAGCCTTCAAGGAATCTCTAAAGTAAGCCTTAACGGAGCGGAACACTTGAAGGAGCCCTTAATAGGGTTTCAACCAGACTTTCATCGGCTTATACTCAGGAGGACTAATAAGCAGGGTTTACCTACAGGCCCGGTTTAGTGTATGGTTTTCCGGGTTTGGTGGCCGGGTCGGAGTAAGTACCGCCAAGTAAGGGGTTTCTGCAGGTTTGGATCCGGGGTTTGTGGGGTTTGTGGGTCGGGTATACAGGATTTTAAGGTTTGTGGCAAATAATTTTGGGTAGCTTCGATATAGGATGGGGTAAGTGATAAAATTAGTAGTGAATTGTACGGTTTGGTATGAGGGTTTAAGGCTGAATGTTTTAAAATGCCTGGCTTCAAGGGCTTAATCCAGGGGCCGTTCAGATCGGGCGTTCGTCGTTCGATCTGGTCGCCTTCGACGAGCACATGGTCTCCAGTTGGTGCCCTTGGCATGTTTGGGGTTTTCGCCTGCAGTTCGTGTGCATGCAGGAGGGCATTTGCATTGTGTCACATGCATCACGGCAGCTCGTCATGACAGAGTGTTCTCAGCATTTTGCCCAAGACACTGCCGTATGGATGTCCTGATTTCACATGTCACATTCACAGACATTTCACAGATTCACAGCATTGCACATTGTCATTTCCGGGGTCATTCGGATTTGGTCGTTCGGTCTTTAGGCCGTTCGGTTTTTGGTGTCAGTTTTTCGGGGGTCGTTCGGGGTCGTTCGGGGGTCCTTCGCGATTCGCGAACGTCGTCGTTCGCCATGTCCGGCCGCCATGGTCGTCGTGCGGGTCCGCCGCAAGATCCAAACGAGCTGCCCTACGAGTCGCTCGATTTGCCGATCGATGAGGGCGAGTACTACAAGGGGCCGTTGATCATCGCCTACGGTGCCGAGGAGATGTACAGCCCGACCGGCCTTCGAGGCGCCGTTCGTGCCTTGTCGTCAAGTATTGGCTGGTGCTGCTTGGAGTTCGTTGGTCGCTCGGTTTACTAAGGTCAGAAAGGTCACTCGTGCATGCCGGCCCTCCTCAAGAAGCGGTTCTACGACGTTGGGGCCACTCAGGTTTCGGTGGATGTTCGTGGAATTTGGGCTTCGGACACGGCCGCTCGTGCGGCATCTGCCCCAGGCCATGTCCAGTTACATTGCAAGTTAGTCAGTCATGTCATGCTTTCTGTAGTTCGGGATCATTGCTTACTTAGTTGAATCCTGGGAGGCAACCCAATCATGAAGCTCGGGGCGTTCCGTGGGCCGTTCCAACAGGAGGAGTACAAGCCCTGCTTCATGATGCTGTGTGCCATCCTGGAGGGCCTTTTGCCTCTCGAGGGCCGTTCGGTGCTGCAGATTATCTGTCGCTGGTTGCATTTAAAGTCATGTGTTATTGCGGCAGGCTGACACTGTTAGGACTTTTAGCTTTTCTGTTGCCGTTCATCCGAGGCAGCCACGGGCGGAACAGGTCGGCCACACTGGGGGTGGGACTTTCGTGCATTTTCAGGATCCCTTGCTGGCTCCCGACGTTCGGTGATGCACATGACGAGTGGTGGTGCCTCGCCAACCTGCCGGACGACATCAAGGAGGAGCTCGAGGCCTTTCGCGTGGCGGCCAGTGGTCCGCCTCGCAGGCCGCCGTCTGCGGGGACGACCGGCCCTCGCGAGCCGGACCAGGCCCCGCCAGGCCAATATGCCGGGACGTTCGACCCCAACGATCTCGCGGGTGCCATGCCGTCCGTGGGCAATCCGTTGCTCGATGCCGCCCCTGAGCTTAAATAAATAGGTGGTCGTTCGTTGCGTTTTCAGTTCATGGTGCCATATCATAAGAGCCCTTGCCTTGAAATCATTCAGGTTCGGCTGGACGTTTGGCGTGTGGCCCCCGGTGTGCTGCTCGAGCTCGACGAGCTCCAGCTCGACGAGAAGTGCATGAGGGCCTCTCGACAGCAACCTTTGGACTTTAAAAACTGAAACATGCACTCAATCCGAAACTCAGGCGGTCGGCAACCTCGCTGGTCACTCGGAGGACGGGGCGAAGTTCGTGAGGGAGATCTTCCAGGTGTTGCAGCGACTCTCGGCTTCGTGGCGTGAGGGCTTGCGACTTGTTCTTGTCGTCGTTCGTGTTTTAATATTTTTTCACCTTACCTGGGGGTACTTTTGATCACATTGGGTGCGGCCATGCTTCTGGCGTACATAAAAGAGTTGGCAAGAAGCCACACAAACTTTTCATGGCCACGCCTTTTTTGAGGTAGCCTTATTTGAGCCCGAAAAACTTAAAATCAAGCTTAAACCTTGAGCTTGTTGAGCCCGAATTTGAGCCGTCTATAAGCTTAGGGATTGCGAAAACAAGAACGAAAGCTGAAAAGTATGCAATGCAAGGTTTAGGCATAGGTTCAGGTTTCCACGGCAAGATAAAAGGAATTCAAGTACATACAGAATATTGAGTCATCCCAACTTTTTTGGGCTTGCGCGCATTAGGGTGCCAACGTTGAAGACCCAAACACCCTGAACTCCCTGAAATGGGTGTGCACAGCCGGCAGTGTGGGGAGATCGGGGTGCAATCCAAGGTTCTATGTCGGCATGCGTGTTGGTATGTCATGCTTGGATATAGACATTATACGTCCTAACTATACATATGCATTAAAAGTGTGTACGTGTGTATGTGTGTGCATATGTACGATCTATATAGGTACGTACAATAAGTACGTATGCGTGTAGTCATGAATTGCATATAGCGTATGCATGCATACATGTGTATAAATGTGTACAAAGCTATGTACACATCCTGCGCTTGAGTATACGACAGTATATATTGTGGCATGGTTTTATAGGGGAGCTCTGGATCGCGGGCTGGGGGTGATCGACTTTATATATGTCGAAGACATCCGCAACTATAGTCAAGGAGCCTTATAATATAGTCGTAGCCATATATTATAGATACCTACGTAGACATATATATGAGTCCGTGCCTCGTGTCTGCGTGCACTAACTCCTATAGCAGGATACAAACGAGAAGCAGGCAATAACCTAGATACGAGGACCAAGATAGTCGGAGAGATAGATATAGGAGGAGCTTTGGGTTTCGGGGCCGGAATTCGGGTGTTTAGGGTTCAGGGGTTTCGGGTTTAGGGCTTAGGGTTTAGGGGTTTAGGGTATTCAGGGGTTTAGGATTGACGTCTAAAGACCCTAAACCTTCAAACACGTACACCCTGGAAGACCTATACTTAAACCCCAAGAACCCCAAGCCTTAAACGCCCTTTAACTTTAAAAACCCTGTAAAGCACTAAGAACCCCCAACCCTTAAAAGCCAAAAGCTGGATCGTCGAAAAGCGGGCCGGCGGTCGAGCCGGAAGCTCAGCTTTTCTGGCCCCATGCACTCCTGACTCCCAGCAAGTAGCGTTCCAGTAGCCTCTTTGGCGCCGTACGAGCATCTGTCATTCTTAAGACTTTCATCAAGCGCTTAAGCCCGTCCTCGTCGATCCAAGTGCTGTATTGGGTTGGATTTGTTCGGCTGGGCAGGGAGCTCCGAAAAATGTGACATAACATGTGGAACTTCGGACGAAGTCGGAAGAGCTGCTCATGATGCTGTAGGCAGTGATGTGCCAAGGAAACATAAGATCTCAGAAAGAGCTGCCCGAAATATTCCTTGTTCCTCTGCTCATCGACAGTGAGATAGCGGCCTGCTTTGTGCAGCATACTCATAATGTGCGAGGCGCACCAGGTAGCAGTGCAAATGTCTGCAGGCAGCACGGCACTGTGGCGAGAGCACAGGTCTTGGATCCACTCCAAAACAACGTAGGTGTCGTACCCCGAACTCTTCAGTTCTGGATAAGACAATCTCGTTTTCAAAGCAAGTTTGCTCTTGCTCAGCTTGTGCATCTTCAAAGGTAACTTGTGAAGCCTGGCAAAGGCCTTGAGCTGGGAAGTAGCATCTTCGAGTCGATCCTTCATGTTAGTACCAGCGAACACACCACGACATTCCAGCTTGTGTCGTATGATGTAGACGATAACACTCGCCGCAAAATCACGGCCGGTGCCAAGGTGCCACACATGCAGCAAATCCGGTTGCACATATTGGAGCTTGAAGCCTGCTAGTCCAGCGTAAGCAGGCGTGTAGCTCCATGGAGGATCGCGGAACATCGTCTCCCAGTAAGCCGCGTCAGGGTTGATGTTTGTGAATGCCATAGGTTCTGTTGTAGCAGTGAGTCCTTTGGCAGCTCGGCACATCCAGCGTATCTGCAGGGAGCATTCCGCACATAACCCCTACCCCTAATTTCGAATCCCGGCTTACCGTAATTAATTCAGGGCCTGTCAACGAGCCTGGTTAACTTGAGATCTAAGCCCCAAGGCAGGGTTTTGCTTTTAGGGTAGTTTTAGGGTTTAGGGTTTGAGAAAAACGTGGATATTTACATGGTCATCGATCGTAAGATGCTTGGCAACGTAGATTGCAATATCAAGGAATCAACACATCCCCACCTCATTTGCCCCACCCTTGCAGCCGGTTATATCTAGACACTGGAAACCACACTTCTATAGGGGAAGCAACACTAGATGTATGGAACAGTCCCCCCACCTCGTCCCGGTCGGCATACCGATTGAAGCAAAAGACCTGGTATAAGGCCTTCCAGTCTCCACGGAAAGCGGTGATGAAGGCGTGGAGTCTCAGAACCTGGGGCCGAGTCTTTCAGGGTCGATTGTCTAGCATTCGAAGGGTTTTCTTAAATTCTTTCAACATACAAAGAAGTTTCCAGGGAGCTTGCCACGGGACTTCGGTCTTGCTACTGGGGTCTTCCAGTGGTATGCCAATTTGAGATAGCCTGTTGAAGCTGCCAGTAATCGCATGGCAGGCGGCTTGAATTGTGAGATTAATACCACTGTCAGGATCAATGATGTACCGTTCTGCTGGTATGATGGCCATAAGCAGGCGGGATGCGGAGGCATTCGTCAAATGCGGAGATAGCTCTGAAGTAAACATGAGAAAAAGCCAAAGCGAATTGACAGCTCTAGCCTCATCACCTTACTTCAGTATACATATAGACTGGACAGCAAGGTTATGCAATCCTTCGGACAACGAAAAACGTATCATAACATGGCAGCCTACCCAACACTTTGATATATGACAGAACGAGTGTCAGTACAATGTACATCCAATTGATGAAGTCTGTAAGCTTGCATCGCCAGCTACAGGATGATCCGGGTGGTCTTGCAAAAACTTAGACCAAAACTTCGGGAGTTCGCCGAGGTCAGTGACCAGGTTCTGGAGGTGGCCAGTCGCGACGATGGCTTCCATCTCGGTCCGTGAGGGTACTTGATTTAGGGTAATGCTGGGGCGCTTATAGTTTACTAAAGCCTTAGATTAGGCCATCAATACGGTGTTGGCTGCGTAACAGGCTCCATATCGTAGGGCAATATAAACGGCCAATCTTCCCAGAGCACGTTGCCGTCATCAGCTGAAACCCTGAGAGGTAGTGTAACGTAGGAAATCTTCGCGGGTAGGGAAATGTCCAGATCTTGGGCTCGGTTGTGCACACCAGACTCCTTAAGGTTCCTCGGTATTTCAAAGCTGGGAAGGTCACTTGCATGCTAAGTAAAAAGAGTACGTACACAATGCATATTTCGGTCGGGAATCCTGACTACAGATTAAATTCTAAACTGACCTGTAGCCATGAACCCTGACATAGATAACGCACATGATTGATACATGTACGTGTGTGTGTGTGTGTTGATATGCAGATATTTCTCACATGAATAAAATATATTATGCACACACCCAGGTACAATACGTATGTATATATGTATATACGTATGTATATACATATGCATATACATACATACACACATACATGCCTACATACATGCCTACATACATGCCTACATACATACATACATACATACATACATACATACATACATACATACATACACACATACATATATATATATATATATATACATATGTACATACATATATATATATATATGCATATGTGTGTGTGTGTGTGCGTATGCTTCGCTCAAACAGAGGCAAGCATCTGCAGCAAATCAGAATCAAAGATGTCGCCCATAGTCCCCACATGCTTAATGGAGGTGTACCCGCGACCGATGCTCTCGGCGATCCTTAGGGTTCAAGCATACTGACTTAATTGAAGAGTCCAGAGCTCTAGAAGAGTCTCGGCGGCGACAGCATAAGGGATATTAGTATTATAGACGAGATGCGCTCCATCAAGCTGCGTTCGGATATTTCGAAGTTCTTCAGCATCATGACCACCTGCGTGGGGTTATTCGTTTGCTTTGTGCTGTGTGTGTAAATAAGTTTTAACATTCTACAGCGCATGCAGTCACTTGCAATGAAATCTTTTTTCGCGTAGGCGACATCGATGCTGCACATGTAGACCTATCCTCACCTCTAGAGCACAGCATCTCTTGCCGGCACAGTGGGGCTGTCTACACATCTGATTGAACGGATGCATTGCTGAACGGTGCAATAGCATCCACGTACCCCAGCCGTTTTTAAAAGCATCCAGGCCGAGAGCTATTGGCCCTCCTGCAGGCGTATAAGCTTAATTGATCGCTCTTACCAGGCTTTGTATAGGGGTCTCACATTTAATCCTGGCATATGGGCTTTCAATATGATACGTGGCTAGATATATAGACACAAAAGAAAAATATATATATATATATGTAAAAGCATATTCCTCCTTAGCTTAAGTCTGTGTTTATTATAGGACAGTTGCCTGAGAGCTTGGATATATATGGCCTTCCTTTCTAAATGCTATCCTAGACGGTTTACAGCCGGAAGAGAATTGGGACCAGAGTATAATTCTCAAATTCAAGTTAAAACTCTATCTATAGGCTTGGGGTGGTGGTTTCACGAGAGGCCCACTTATTTGGTAATTCGGGGCAACCTTAAACTTGTAATAATATAATATAAGCGAATAGTGTTTAGGACTTAGGGTTCGATTCGGTGCAACTATAATAAGATCGAACCGATACGTGAAACCTTGATCTACAACCCTGCGAGCCCGATTGTGTAAGTCTCTTGATCGATCATTGGGATCCTTGGACCCCGAAGCTTATGTCACTATATTACATAGGATCCTGTAGAATGCGAAGGATTCCACGCAATCTGAAAAGAATATACTGCAACACATCGGCTAGCGGCTAGCTAGATTCATGTCCAATAGAAACTCTTCCTGCCCCTCGATCCTGGATGGGTAAAATCGGCTCGACCCTCAGGCCCGGCTTCACGAGTTCCCCTTCTTGATCTCGGCGGCCACGGCTCGTGCTTGTACACGGGTGAGCTTGGCATCCTCGACCTTTGGGAGGGCGGGGTTTCAGCTACTAGTCGTCTTTATATTCGGGGCTTTGCGCTCGACGGTTGGGGATCGCTTGGTGTGTGACCAATAGGCCTGGGTCTCGATCTCAGCAAGCATCTCTTTCTGATCATCGTCCTCTAGGTCGTCGAACTCCTTAAGCCTCAGTTATAGATTATAGGGTGTATGGTACGAATATACAGGCAGAGTCGGCTACAGAGTATTACCATGCTAAGAACGAAGCCGCTCGAGCTGTTCCTTCAGCTCTTTTTCATGAACAGCCATCTTCGTACGTAGATCGTGACCCTTAGGGAGGTCCAGGGCAATGCTGCCGGCCTGCAGCTCTTTCTTGATCTCTTTGCCTCGGATTGATTGACCGGTTTCCTTTGAAATTCTTTGGTTTATATGGGAAGATAAACATATCAGACGAGCGGACAATTGAGATAGGGAGCGGGCATCCTCTGCCAGCTCTTTTGCGGTTTTGGCCATGACACACCTGCTCTTGGCTTTCGCCTTGCCCTTTGGTGTGCCACGACTGCCGGTCGAGCCAACATGACTGCCTCGAGATCAGACACATCGAAACCCATAGAGATCGGTAACGAACACAACTGATTGTTTGATATGAAGACTATCCTGCAGATCGAGTGGCCCGAAGCTTTCAGATCTTTGACGAGTGCGAGAGAGTCGTCCCTGCCCTTGTTTACCAAAGCATGAGCATCCTTAGACACAGGTCCCAGGCCTTGGTTCAGAAACAAAGCATTGGCCAGCTCAGGGGTGGCTTGGAACCTACAATCGGTTTGCAGGGACTGCTTGGTGCGGTCAATCTCCTTCTGCACCATTTTGGTCTTGGTCCAATAGCGGGTGCTTTCGGGGTCGTCAGGGCAATCTTCATCAGGCACCCCATTTCCGGGTTTCCGAACAGCAGATTCGATCTTCGTCCTTATGTTGAAATTGCACAAGCATCAGCACGAAATAGGAACCCATATGTTCTATCATGCAAAAATCGCTCGGGACCGTGCGTGCTGAAGTTTCGCTGGACCATCTCGAGGATGGTCAAGCATTCCCACTCGCGGTTCCCCTTGAACTCCTTCTCTCGTAGAAACGTCATGTGGGACTCCGCCTGCTCGTAGTTCTTGTCCTTGGACAGCCATTCCCGAAAGGCCTTTAGCTTGTCCTGAGATCGACAGGATTTTCTGTATATGTGCGTGTACGTGTGTATGTACGTGCGTTGGAATAATAACTATTCAATAGGAATGCAAACAGGGCACATCTCTGCTAGCAGACCAAAGCCCCATGAGCTCGGGAAACTTTGTGGATGCATCTCCACCATCCATTCTTCTCCCGAAAGCCATCCACTCGGCCCTGTGGGTAGTTGAGTTCGCGTGCGCAAACGGATTTGGCGGGGCCTCCGGGGCAGGTGGGGTGGGCGTCTCTGCGCGATTGGTCTTGGGCGGCGGGGTTATCACCGAGGATGGCTCCGCCTCCTCATCCTCCTCCTCATCTTCATCTTCTTCATTACCCGACCCGTCCCTCTGATCAGCATCATCATCCTCAGCATCTTCATCTTCATCTTCATCGACGGTTGGGGGGGCTTTGTCGGCAGCTTCGGCGGGGGACGGGTTTGCAGGCTTGGGTGTTGCTGTTCCTGCAGGACTGGAGCCTCGGGAGTCCAGTTTGTGTTGCAGTGCTCGGTTTTTTGCAATCAGCTGATTAAGCAAGGTCTGCATTTCTTCGGGCGGGGCCGACTCCGCAAGCACTTGCGAAGCGGACTCGTCCATCCTTATTGTAGAAGCAGAACAAGCGATTGGAATCTGGAGCACACATAATACTCTTCAGGATTTTGTGCCAGCAAGTAGCGAATCAAGCAAATCCATGATATCTGGCTCGTCCTTCTTGTGGTCGGGTGTAAGATTTCGACCAGCATCAGCCATCTCGTTGGCAAGCTTGATACCCCGAAGCAGCGTTCGGCAGGACCTGGGCGATATAGGTTTTAAGTAGTGGAGAGGGGGAGAGAGACAGAGAGAGAGAGAGAGAGAAATATACACTATATAGGGAGCCCAATATATATGGTTAGCAAATGAAATACAGGTAGGCAACTTCAAAGAATCCGTTCGAGCAAGCTTGAAAGACTCTGGGGGATCGGAATGTTCTTGGAACTTCTTGTTCAAGTTCGTCCTGCAAGGAGTGGCCTCAGCAAAAATCGCACAGGTAGGTTCTTAACAAACATCAAAATTTCATCCAGAGACTGCGATCCTTAAATGCAGACTGATGACAGCTGGCTCGGGGGTCTTGTCCGGTTTCTTCTCATCACTGGCAGCTTTGGCTTGGCTTGTCTGGGGGGTCTTACCAGGAAGGATATTGGTCTCCTTATCATCCTCCTCTTCATCGTCCTCCTCTTCCTCTTCCTCATCCAGCTCCTGGCCATCTAGGTCTTCATCATCATCCTGCTCCCCTGCATCGTCATCTAGGGTGGAATCCTCTAGGATGGGACCTGGGTGCCTCTCATCACCACAAAGATCTGGAGGACATGGCCCCAGCGTCTCCTCAAGCCCTAGCTTCACACCAGCGACCGTCTCGTTCGGATGTGCCTTCAACACTGCTGCAACGACAGCGTCGAAGTTCCTCCAGCTCACCATGATGCCCAGTTCGTTGTCGTAGAATTCCTCTACGACTTCATCTGAGTCATCAGCTGACTTCGCTGTCGATGCTTTGGGGACCTGCTTCTGACCCTTGTTTTTGTTGCTTTTTGTCTCGGAGGCAGTCGAGTCTACCTTCGCACTCTTGTCTGGCTTCCCCTCGGCAGTCTTAAGCTTTGCTTCCTTTGCAGGCTGCGTATCCTCTACGGATCCAGGCTCCTCCTCGTCGGTTGCGCCAGACTTGGTGCCCTGTCCCTTCTTTCCAGGCTTTACCTTCTCCTCCGGGGCTGCTGTCTTGCCTACCTTGGGTTTCTTCGTTGGCTTCTCCTCCGGGGCTGCTGTCTCGTCTACCTTGGCTTTCTTCGTTGGCTTCTCCTCCGCAGTGGCTGCTGTATTGTCTACCTTGTCTTTCTTTGTTGACTTCTCCTCCTCAGTGGCTGCTGTCTTGTCCTTTTTGGGTTTCTTTGTTTGCTTCTCCTCCTCAGCGGTTGCTGTCGAGTCCACCTTTGCTTTCTTTGTTGGATTCTGCTCCTCGGCTGGGGCTGTTGTCTTTGTTTTCATTGTGGGCTTCTCCTTCTCAGCTGGGGGTTCGGTGCTGGGCTGCTTTTTTGGGCGGCCTGGCTTTTTTTTCGGCTGGGGGTTTGTCTCAGCGGCTGCCGGGCTGTTGTTGCGCATGCTTGGCTTTCCCTCTGCTGGTTGCAAGCTTCCGCTCGCTTGGAGCCGCTGCAACACTTCCGCATACTGAGCCTTACACTCATCCGAAACTTTGGTCTTTGGGGGCATTGCCGTAGACCGTGCCTAAAAGTCTAGCTCTTAAAGCTTGATCCTGAGTTTTCCAAGGTGATGCACAGAAAACGCGTGATTTCACATTTATAGAGATCAAGAGCATCTATGAATCTCTGAAACGTGAATCACAGAATTCACGGCGCCACGTGGTCAAGTAACGACTTTTCACGTTCAAGTAACGCTTTTTCACGCGTGATTGCGTGAATTTGATTTCACGACATGTAGCAAGATTTCAAGACATGTAGCAACAACTCACAGATCATCTGCGAATTTAGGACCACATGCAGCATCGGCACATGATGTGTGATTTCACAGCAGTGTGGGTGAATTCCCTGCTTGCTATGAAGAAAAGCACACTGCCAAGCATCATTTTGCTTTCCGGTACTGCCCCCCGAATCCATCAGCCTGCCTTTGCTTTAAAGGCAGGGACCCCGATATCTCTCAGATATCGATCAGAACCTATCACAGCAGGCCGATCTTCTGAAGAGTAATGTCCTAAGCTGAAGCAATAATGTGAAAACATTCCCGGTAAGAGAGGTCGGGAAAGAGAGAGAGAGAGAGAGAGAGATAGAGATGGAGATCGATAGAGAGCAGACAGAAGCCTTAAGAACACTCATCCCAGCCAGGTCTCCCATTGCCCTGGAGGCATCACGTGTTTGGCATTGAGATAACCGATGACTGTCGGCATTTCGGCCTGGGCTTCGGACTTTCACTGTGAATTCTTTGGTTTGGCTTAAATTAGGATTTAAACTATCATCGATTAGACTAGCAGCATCATCCCAAATATCTCCTGCCAGCCATCCATTCGAGTCGGCTGTGCAGTGCACCACAAAGAGCTCATGGTCTGTCATCGACCGGTCGATAGTAGGGGCAGTCTTCGCATCAAAGGATACCTCGAAGGGCTCCTGTTAGCAGGGTTATGATGAATTGTTTGAATCTATATGGATATATATGGTGTATCCTATTTGAACCCAAAGCACCAATACTCCCTTCCCGTAAAATAGAAAACTCACGTTTGTAAAATACCCAAACCCCCCTAAAGTAGTGCTCATGACAGGTGTCTCTATAGATGTAGAAATGCATAGCGTGAAAGTGTCTATACACAGGTTTCACAGGTTGTGAAAAGTTCTGTCGGGGTCCTACTATTATATGTATATATATATATATGTTTATCGAGTTGTACATATAGGCTTTAATGCTTATATGGTTCTTGTGAAGCAGTTTTAAAAGTCGTCTACCGTAAAATCACGGGCACCATCTGCGCACGTGGCTCTGTTTGAGATTGCGAGGGTTTCTTCGAGGGTATTTAGGTTTCTTGCGAGAGAGAGAGAGAGAGATATATATATATATATACATATATTTATATTGCATACGAGGGTTGCTGTTTCTTGGTTCCTAATTGTATACAGGGGGTTCTTTGGCGCGGCATTGCATGGCTCTTCCCAGCTTTAGTACCTATATTGGGGGGTTCGAAATTCCTAAGTTTTTAACGTATTGTCTACAGGACAACTATGCATCGGGAATTGGTGCGGTGAGGTAGGGATATATAGAAACCTACAGCGATCTTAATATTCGGAAAGGCCTCAGTGGAAAGCATGCCGAACAGGAGCCCGAGATTCCAAACAATCCTGTATCCATGCAAAACCTGAACCTAGTTGTCTTCGTACCCTAAGTGATCCTAGCTCAGATTAATCCTATGACCCTATATAACCCTATAATATCCATTGCATATACAAGAATCCTCGACGTTTATAATTAAATTCCCTGGGTCTACTAATATTCGATCCTTTCAAAAGAACCAGCAAAGCCCATGATGTAATCGCCCGTGAAACAATGTTTTTGTTATATATATATATATAATTATATCCCTGTTTCAATAATCATATACGTGCCCCTTTAAAGGGTACAGCCCCTATATAGCTATATGTGTATATATATATATATATACATATATATATATATATCGAAACCTGGAAGAATAGTAATATAAACTATGTATATATATATATATATACAGCACGACCAATAGGGTACCTCTATATTATTTATCGGATCTAGTGATCACCCTATAAATTGCTGGGCAGGTCGCCTTGCACGTGCAGTGCTGTCGCAGGATGCTCAGAGTCGGAACTACATCGTAAAAGGTTTAGTGCTTAGGGCTTAAGGGTTGGGTTTGCTCAAAGTCAGCTCGGAGGATTCGTGAAGGAGTGCGGCTTGGCCTTCAAATCGATTTGCCATGTACAGACTACCCTACGTAAGCCTCTGAAAGCTGTATGATTTACAACTTGTCTAGGCAACCATAATTGTTTGAAAAGCTATTGGAACACTCTCGGACAGTCTTGTGCACTGTGCATGTGTAGGGATTTCGGGGGTTGTATACGGTTTAGGGTCAGGGCTTTGTAACAACGTGGAGTGCGTCTTTAAGGTAAGCTGCTGCGTGGGGTTGGTAGGATTTGAGCTAATCTTTATCAATATATTGGGTCGCCTGGATTTATTGGAACTATAGAGACTTAAGGGCAGGATTCGGAATTATATAGTTGTGAAAATTACATTCACTTGACCGGCATCATTTGCCGGTCGTAAGCTATCCCGGCCTGTGGGTATGGGGGTTCATAGCTTCCGAAGACATACAGAATACATGATGCTGGTACCTAGGCAAGTGACATTATATAAGCCACACATATGGCCTCACATTAGGCAACAGAAACGCAAGCCTTGCAACTTCCAAGTTTTGTGGTAGCAGAAGTATAGCTAGAATCTCGAGCGTGAAATCCCCTAGCGTGTTCGCGATGATTCACCTAAATTTGCCATAGCTGGACGACACCGGAGAACCAAGTAGTCTATCATAAGTTGTGCGGTTCATGCCTAAATGATTACGTGGACATATAGATCTGATCATATATATAGGTACTTCTATATATTGAGGTTATAGCCCTTACGTGGTATGTAAACATACTCGATCGGATCTAACTATATAGGGTACACCCGGAGCTAGCGGCCTTCATCACGCTCACGAAATACTTCGTCAGGAACTCGCCAAAGGCTTTGGTGTACTCCCTTGGCTCAGGCGGATGGAAGTGCAGGGAATTTGGGGCTTATATAGAGTCATGCTGTATACGGGCTTCGAGAATTAAATTAGCATCGAGCGGCTGTGATTTTTGAAGCACTTTGGGCTTGCCGGTGTGGCGCTTAACACCATTGCTGTCCGTGTATTGCACAGCCGTCTTCTGCGCAAACCGACTCATTTCCTCCCTGGACATGAAGCCCGCCCTCTCGGTGATCGTATCAATCAGATCCTTGCAATTCGACCAAAGTCTGTGCCTTTTAGGCGTCGGGCCGTTGAAGTGGCCCATGTAGAAGCTTCCAGACCATATCTGAGCAGGCATTTGTGCAGTTTATTATTGGAGGGGTCCTAGGCCGCATTATTTGTCTACCCAGCAACCAGCCTCAAAAGTCCGGAATAAGGCTTGGAATCGGGGCATCTCCGGAAGGAAGCTACCATCCGGTTGTTCAATGACCCAGCGTAGCCTCAACCATTGTGCTAGGTAAACCAGCAATGCCGTGCGGCTCGAAAGAACATTGCCCTCCATCACGAACTCGTGGGTTTGGTGGCCCAGCGGTTTGAGGACACTGCGACCCGTCGTGCCCCGAGACCTTACATAATTAAGCAGTGGTCGAGTCATTGATATAGCTAGGCACTTTATATCGTTGTATATATGGAGTCAAGTAACATGCGGCTGAAGCTTCGGCAATCCAATGCGATCACAACCAATGCTCCAGGCTTGCAGCGCATCATCTCCAACATTGCCAGACTTAGGTTACAAGCACAAGCATGCAAAACAATATCTCAACTCGGCCCACACACGGAGTTTCAATACTTGCAACCAAATCTCCAAAAACCCGCCGACGTGAGCAGGTCCATGGTAACCGGCTCGTTCACGATGTCCACCGAAGCTCCACGAAGGTGCGCCTTGGATCGAGGATGGGGTGTTGGGTTATAGTTGCATTATATTCATGAATTTAGGTACCGGCTTACCTCGAATCATTCTATGGCAGGATACCCTTCGCAAAGCAGCAGATAACTCACCCTGGCCAGCGAAGAGCTCGAGGAAGTCTCGGTCCTGGCATTAGAATATAAGAAGTCTATTATATAGAAGGGCTGACATCTAGAGATTCCGACGGGTGTCATGTTTGCTATATAAGTAAGCAGGTAATTGGGAGGTCCTTCGTCTTCGGGATCTGGGAGTTGAAGATCAGAAGTAAAATTGAAAGCACGAGGCACGACGGGGCATCCACCATCAAGAGCTCTGCTACGACCATTCTAGCTAGATAGGACTTGAACTGTCGTATAGGGCCTACCCGTGTTCTAGGCTCTAGCCACAAAATCCTGCATGCGAATGTTAGCATAGCATGTGACAACAACATGAACGACCGAAAGCATCCGTGACGGCGTTCACTCACTCGCTCGGCATATAGGTTATTTTTCCCACAGCATGCAAGCCCCACCGATCGATACCCGGCGAGAAAATTTGCAGTAATTTCAATCACGCTTGCCATGGATATTCACACAGCGGCACGTAAAAGGAAAGAAGGATCTTTTCAAAAGAACTTCAGACCTAGCATATCAGCAGCCACCAAGTCGAGCGGCCCGGAAAGGATTCTCCGTGCACTCCTTTGGCACAAATTTGCGCCGTTTCAACTCTTGCAGTGGGACATCCGACAGAAGTCTTGACCTTTCCTCGCTATCGATCCACATCTTTAAGGCCGTGCGGGGCGCATGCCCAGCTGCCTTGGCATCCTCTCTGAATTTCTTACTTCGATCGTTGAAATCCTTGGGCGTGTAGTCTCCGTATTGCACATCACTGGGGCCTTGGGGACCTTGGGGCTTGGCCTCTGCAGGCTTGCGGTTCTTGGACTTCGCTTTAGCTTTGGGCTTCTTCGAAGCTGCGGCCTTCTTCGCCTTCTTCAAGAAAACCGCACTGAACCGAAATCCAGCTGATTTCGGGGGACTGGCCTTTGGCTTCTCGCCCTCATGATCAAGCTCTGCAGCATCAGCTGATGCCTCGGCGTCATCATCATCGTCATCATCACTATTATCATCGGCCTTGGCGGCACCCTTGAGCGTCTTCACATACTGCTCGCTGATCAGAGGGACGGGTGCGGGTTCCCCGATTGAGGGCAGGCGATCCAAAACCTGGGGCCACCGGTTTAGGGAGGTTGAGTCATTCGAGGTACCAGGCATATACACATAATCCGAAAAAAGGAAACAACCCGGAAACCTCCCCAAAATTTCGATTAAGCAACATAGCTCGGAATAGCCTTGGGGCTCGGAGCTGGGCTGAACTTGTACCCCTTCGATGACGATGAGGACGATACTTCCGACGTCTTATCAATGCTCGTCTTGAACAACCGAACATCCGAAACCTGTGCGCAAAGTCGGCTCATAAGAGAATCCCTGCTCGACAGGCTGGCATGCGACGAAACCGAAGACGTGTTGCTGGACAAGGTATCGCCCTCGTCGTCAGAGTCCTCTTCAGACTCTTCAGAATCATGGACTTCAGCACCCGGGGTCGAAGGTCCCTCCTTAAACAGATTTGGGATTCGAGGTTCAGTAACATAGTATAGACACTTAAGAAGTCGGATTATTATAGTCCATGGGTAGATATAGGGTTAAGATCGGCGAATCGGTTGTATCTGTATTTGTACTTAAATCCAGCTAGATAAAATTCGAGCGAGTGTCCAGGCCTGGGATCTTCAGGGTCGCAATTCTGTCTCGAAGATGGTTCATTTTCTTGAGCTTGCTGGAATGTGCACGTTTCAGAAGACGGCGAGTCCTGCCAACCTTAGATAGGCATTGCAAGCTTTCATCAAAATATTAGCATCTGCAATACAATGGGCAGTTGAGTAGCCATACGTTTGATTGCATCCCCCATCCTCAGGGCCCAGTCTCGAATGCACTCCATCGTAGAAGTGAGCCCACGTGGCCACAATTTCTTGTCATCGTAAAACTTCAAGATTGCTTCCCGAACTACGTATGCACTTGAACGTGAAGTTCTCATCGCGGACATCGTGGCATAGATGACCTTGGCTAACTATAGTCTATGATACGCCTTTAGGTGCAGATAATGACAACCCTGATCTTGGGGGACTGCACTGAATGCATGCCATAAAGCATCGGCGTTCCTGCATAGGTCCTTCAACGTACACTTCTTGCCCTTGAAGAGCTTGCCGGAGTGATCAATAACAAAAGAAAATCCAACCTTAGATTGCAACCATTGTACTATAGTAGGATATACCAGGATTTATGGCTGCATCAGCTAACAACATGCATCTGCCTACACCGAGTAGCTTCATAAAGATGCGGCTGCTTGCTGTAAGCATCCGAGAGCTGCTGTACGACGTCTGCATCGATTTTCGTCGGCATCGTCAGCGATGCCGGGTCTCTAGACGTACTGCTTGGCCCCAAAATCTTTCTCGGGGTACACATGATGTCGAGACTGTCAGTTCGAAGGATGAGGGCGGCTTCAATCTCGAGAAATCCAACCCCGAATCGACAGAGCCCCGACGTAAAGTCATATATGGCACCTGAAATGGATTCTGAATTGCGCTGCGATGTAACTGTGCAGATGGTAACTCCCAGATTTCCAGTTGTTGTCTAGGTCAGGATGATGATCGAAGGCTTTCTGTAAGATTTTATATAATTTGGGGAGCTGCGTACTAAAGAAACTGGATATGTAAACTAGGAATACAACTCCTCAACCTTATATAAGCCCGTATATGCTTTCAGACCCTAATTGCAATCCAAAGTTAATAACCCTAGATAAACAGACCCTTGGTCTGAACCCTATAGAAGTAAGTCAGTATTTATAAGCCATACCTACAGTTTAAGGCATGAAGCCCGTAAGAAGAATTCTGATATAAATAAAAACCCTTTGATACATGAACCCATAAACAACCTTCGAACGTAACAAATATAAAGGAGGCTACATATACATGGTAGCATAGTTTACAACAAGCTTTATTGTACAGTAAGGCTTTTTCAAAGTCCAGGCGTGAAATCGAGCAGTACCCCTGTCTATGCGTGCAGCAATCCCTATATAAACAACCGTAGTATACAGCTAGTATACATGACCCAAAGATCCCATCTATATACTGTATGCAGTATTTGTAAAAGCACCCGAACAACACCGGGATAGTTCTGAATTCTGTTAAGTTAACGATCCAGTTTCCTTTATAACCAGCTTTCAATGTTTAATCTATATATATATATATATAAACATATAGATATGCCACGGAAGCCGTAGCGAACAAGCCCTACGTAACAACCTCTATAAATAGCACTGTATATATAGAGCTTCAATCTAAATTTTAACGAGCTTTATAATGACCTTTAATCGCCCGAAATTTGTAAGCCTGGTTAGACGAGAATGTCTACATGAAGATGATTTTCTATGTATATATATATATATACATACATACATATACATATCTGTGCATATATATATAACTCTCTGAAGTTAAGCAGATATTGGGATCTAATCCCCGGACAAACCTGTCTATCATCCGACCCATGCTATTAAGAGAACCATTATGCTATGCAAAGACCCTGCATGCATACTGGCGGGGCGGGATCTGACCTCCAAACCAATGATCATCTCCTTGTCGAAGCGCACGTAGACGAGCCTGCCATGTAAATAGCATATATTGGGATCGACCGATCATGATATCCTGATCAAGTATGTCTTATACAACTGCTCAGATTCGCGCAATAAAACCCACCGATACCTCGGAAACTGAATCAAACCAAAGCCGGTCGCACCATGCCAGCGGGAGGCCAGAGGAATCCGATCGTCGATGTACCTGGTTGGAGGCAGCATGGGTTTATAGGGTTCAAGGCTATGGAGGCTTGGAGAATATCAGGATGCCGTCAAATTCAGCTTTAGATGAACAGCCCGTTGAGAAATCTGAAGTGTGAAAACCCATGCCGTCCCATGGGGCACCTCGCCCGACTGCAGGATGATCATGATCGGGTCGCGACCATCGACGACGACGCACCGAGATCTACATCCTCACGCCCCTGTATATATTGCATATATATATATATATATAAATATATTTACGTCTATAAGAACTATATAACCTCTAGCTTTTCATGTCTATATGATCCGTGCGCGTTGCACGTGTAAGATGTGAAGGGGCATACATGCATACCAGCATACGTATACACATGCAATACATACATACAAACATACATACATAGATACAAACAAACATACATACATACATACATGCATACATACATACAGACTTAAGTACGTACATACATACACACACATATACCCACGCACCCACATATATATATATATATATGCATGTATACATAGCTATTTAAGTACAGTTGCATATATCTACATACCTTCATACCGATATAAGTATATGTATACATTTCAATAATTATGGTATATTAGAGAGAGAGAGATATATATATATATATATATGTTCATAATTAATGGCTATATACATGGATGCCTAGGTTTAAGTATGCATACATATCTTTATACATATATATATACACACAGATAGACAAGAAAGACGTCGCTTTACATCGGCATGGGGAGATGCTATCTGGGTTTGCAGACTGCGTATACATGTTCCCACGTAGGACTAGAAAATTAAGCCCATCGATACAGTCACCGTATTGAGCCGGTTGCTGGCACGATTTGGCGGCGTTGCCAAGAGTTCCTGAAAGATTCTGGTTTAGGCTTGTTCAAAGCTTGGGGTTTAGGACGTAGGGTTAGCGACGGATTTTAGGGTTTTTTGACTGATGCCGGCGTGTTTAAGGTTTTTGATTGGCACTCGGAGCTTGAATGGTCGTATAAACATATAAGATCTCACGTGAATTTCACACTGGTGTCTTTTCACGTGAATTTTGGGGTTCTTTTAAGGTCATATGACCATAGAAGGCCATAGCAGCTTTTCACGCCCATATGGCCATGCGGCCTGCGGACACTTAAGGGGAGGTCATATGGACCCCCAGGTAATAGCTTAGGTGAAAACACCGACCTCAAGACCTATGCCAATCCGTCGGCCGCCCTCACGAGTGCCTGCCGAAAGGAGTTGGACCGCTTGAGGCCCAACATTGCAGGTCTGCCGGGATCGTCCAGTCACTCGGTCTGCTGTTGGGTCGCTGCTGTTCGAAGTTCGCAATTTTTTGAGTTTAGGCGGATTGATTGATTTGAGGCGATCGTCCTCCTTCTGGCGGCAAAGGTCAAGGCTTTCCAGGTGGTCGTTCGTGGCATGGTCGCCCGAGCTACGAGGACTACGATGCTCGCCGAGCAGAGGAAGAGCGTCGCCGTGACCCGAGTGCATTCATTGGGGCTGCAGTTGGAGACTGAATTTTGGGTTGTTCGTTCGGGGCTAACTTGTGTTGCCATCAGCTAAGGTTATGAGGCCCATCATCCTCCGGACCATCGGGACTATCGTGATGAACCGGATGTCTGGCGTTCGTATCAGAGCCCCTACGACCGCGACAGGGCCGATCGCGAGGCCCGCGAGCGGGCTTTCGAGCGTGACAGGGCCGATCGCGAGCGGGCAGATCGCGAACGAGATGAGCGAGACCGTTATTACGGCGGCCGGCGTGGGTACTACGACGACGATCGGCTCTCTGACCCGGGCCACCCGTCACGGCCAGCTCCACGTTGGGGCGAGCGATATGGTCCCGAGCCCGCCACTTGACTTGATTGCAATTGAGGCTGCATGTTGCACCCCTTACTTAAAGAACTCCAGGCCCCTCGCCGTCCCCGATACGACGATCGCGATCGCCGTCCGTAGGTCGTTCGGAGTGCCTCGGATTGTTCATCATGTTCTGCGTGTGCGTTTGCCTCTTCTTTTGCTGCTTTGGCTTGCACTCACTCATCTCAGGCGGCCCATCGACTATGAGCTCCCGGCATTTTGCCACAGCGGCCGCCGTTCCGGAGCCAGTTTTGGCCGGGCCGGAGTTGCCCGGACGAGGGGTGAAAAAAGTCGTTTGTGCTTCAGTGTCCTCGGTCCTGCTTTGCGAATTCATGTCATGTCATGTTGCCATTGATTTCGTGACAGGTGCTGGACGTTCGAGGAAGCAGGCCTGTGCACCGGGGGGGTTGTTTGGCCTTCGGTGAAGTTCGGTGGTCGTTCGTGGATTTGGTTTCTGATTCTGATTGCAACGGTCGTGCCGATGATCCTGTGTTTGGCTTTGTCCCCCTCATGATGATTGGCTATAATAAATAGCACTTAATTAATTAATAAGTTAACCCGAAAATAAGCAAATTCAAGAAACATCTAATCTAATCATAATCTATGACGAGTTACTTAACTTACTTAACTACATTGTTACATTACACACACACACACATTCCAATCACAAAACCCAAACAACAAAATCCAAATAACAAAACCCTAAACTTTAAAAGCCTCCATCTTACTAACATAAGAAACCCACAACACCAACACACAAGCCGTTCACTACAACACCAGCAAATTCAAGCCCTTAAGCAAAGTCACCCCAAAAGTAATCCGAACCCCAACCCCAAACCCGGAACCCTAAACACGAAACCCTAAAGTTAAATTCCCAACTCTTCTCGCAACCATACCCCTACACCCCGAAAACCTGCTACACAAGCCCCTACACCCCTTTCCCTAAATCCCAACCTCATGAAACCCTTAACTCTCGCGAGGTACCACGTCACGGCCGTTCGGAGGATGAGCGTGGTTCCACGGCAGCTCGGGAGGCTGGTTTCGCAGTTCGTGCTTTAACTTTTAACCTTAACCCCTAACCCTAGACACTAAACCCTAAACTTAATTGAAACCCTAAAGCTGCGACGTAAACTTCGAGGGTCGTTCGGCTAGACGGAGGTCGCAGAACACGAAAGACGTTCAAGGAACGTTTAATACAGGTAAATTTGGATTAGGGTGTAAGTCGCATTGCAAAGCCCCAGATCAGCGATTGCATGGGTTGTGTTTCATTCTCAAGGGTAGCAAGTGAGACACATCTAGTTGGCAAAGCCCAGCCCTTCGTGGTCGTTCGTTGTGCCTTTCGTCGTCTTGGTCGTTAGCATGGCTGCGACTCGTCGGACCTCCGGGGCGAGCGACAAGAAGGCGACGGCCGTGAAAAAGCAGCAGGAGAAGGCGGCCGCTCGGAGGAGGGCGAAGGAGCAGAAACTCCTGAAGCGTAACGAGAAGACGTTCGCGAAGTCCTTGGCCAACTTCCAGGAGTCGTCGTTCGAACGTGCCAGGGCGTTCGTGGACGGACAACTGGACGATAATCCGTCCTGGGTGAGGCCTCTCGCCGACCTCATCCGGGACGGAGCTCTACAGACCCTGCTGAAGTCCTCGTCGGCCACCTCGACGGCCGAGCCAACGGCGGGGGCACAGGCCGTTCGTTGGAGCGGGAAGGCCAAGACGTTCGGCGAGATGCCGGACGAAGCCAAGGTCTTCATGCTGGAAAAGGTGGGCGTTCACGTGGACGACGGCATCTCGCAGGACATTCTGGACACGTTCTTCGGCGTTCAGTTCCTGGTGGATCTCGACACACCGTTGCCGGCCGGGGCTAGGTCTTACGAGGTTTTGGAGAAGATGGCCACGGAGCGGGTCCGGGCTCTCGGCGGGCATCGTGTGGCGCCCGACGTGACCGACCAGTTTGACATGAAGTGCTTCAGGTTGGAGGGTGACAAGGTGACGAATGCCATCGATGGTGAGACGGCCGGCCTCCCGAGCCTCGCCGTCGAGGGCGACGAGTGGGTGATCGACGACGAAGGCCTTGCGACGGCCATGGTGTCCTCGAGGGCCAACCCGCATTTGTCGTTCGCTTGTCGTACGTTGTTCGACTCATTGCGGACCGTCGACCCCCAGGCCAAGTGGATCATGGCCAAGAAGTGAGCTGCGATGCGTCTCTCGGGGTAGCCGTTGTTCGAGACAACGGCAGTGCTTGGAGGGGTCCTGTAGTTCGGCTAAGCCCGGCTACATTGGGGATTCACAGGATGCTGCTGAAGAAGAGAAGCGTGCCCTTTAGAGTCGTTTATGCGTTTCAGCAGTTCCCAGGTGCATCTCAGGTGTTTTTTCAGCGTTTTTCCAAGGTTTAGCGGTGCGTTCTGTGACTAGTGTTTTTGGAGATCAGTTTTCTGCGTTAAGGGCTGCCCCGTTAGGGAACGACACCCTTTACAGTTCATTATGTGCGTTTCAGGAGTTCCCAGGTGCAGTTCAAGTGTTTTCCAGCATTTTTCCAAGGTATTTCATCCGTCTAGCAAAGCAAAGCCTACTCCGGACAGGCCAGCCCCTCCAGAGCGGCTGCGGCCCGGTGCTCGGCCCTTCGTCCTCGTGTGCCTCGGGTAGTGCGGGCAGTGCCTTGGTGTTTGCTGTGAAAAGAGCTGCCTTGCCGTGCTCAAAGAAGGCTTAGCCCCCACTTGAGAGGCCACAAGCAGACCCCAAAACCATGGGCCCAGAGATTGTTCAGTCGTTGGCTAGGCTAAGCAACTTTTAATAGCCGGCAATCTTAAGCTTGTCAAGCCATCGGTCATCATGGCGGCAAAGCCAGAAGCAGAGGAAGCCTCAGCGAGGGTCGTTCGGAGTCTGGTAGAGCTTGGAGAGAGGCAGGTTCGGGCGGTCGTTCTTCCCTGCGGCACTGTGGGGTCCTTCAAAGGGGAGGTGTACCAGTACGAGAGGCCTGTCGCGGCCTCGGACGGCCGTTCCAGACCGGGCCTTTTTTTCTGGATTTTCAGATGGGTCGTGGATTTCCTGGGCGGCTCGGCGGTGCCGAACTTCGCCGGGCGTTCGCGGGAGCCAATAGCCAATCGCACGGCAGCCGTCATTTATGATGGCCTTTCGTCTTCTGATGAGGAGACTCAGAAGATGAGCAAGGACGAGGAGACCGTCGACATGCCGACTGCGGCGGAGCACTTGACATCGTCCAACATGATGACACGGATGACTCAAGTCAAGAGAAAGTCCCTCGGCGGCAATAGCAGCCGCTCGGACGGCGTGAAATCAGAGGTCAAAGCCGACGTGAAGGAGGAGCCGATGGAGGCCGACGAGGACCAGGGCGATCCGGACGATGACGGGCCCATCAGCAGGGGAGACTTTAGCCTTTCGTCCTTCGCCTTCATTTGTTGGCTAGCCCAGCTCATGGCGAAGGGCCCTCGTGCAAATGCCAAGTGGAATCTCGCTCCAGACGATGTGAAGGCCCGTGCAGCGGCCTTTCTGGCAGGGATGCGAGACACCTTCTGGCAGGACGTTCGAAAAGGTGGTTGTCATGTCGTGCAGGGCGACTTGTTGGTCCAGCCTCTCGTTAAGCAGCACGGCCAACTTCCAGGCAAGATCTTCGGCAAGAAGGAGAAGGTTCCGGTGCTCGAGGCCTTGGCGACCCTCCAAGCTGATGCCGTTCGAAGGAGTTTGGGAATGGAACGTCGCAGGATGGCCGAGAAGGTGTTCAGCCGCCTGGTAGGGTCTCTCGCAGAGGCCATCGATGACTCCGCCTCAAACCCGTTCTGGACGACCACTCGAGTGGAGGCCTTGGACCAGCTGAGGACTCGAAAGCCTCGTAATTCTTTTTCTAATCGAAACAAACCCCAACACCAGAGAATTAGGACCCTTTCGGGGTGTCGAGGTGCATTTTAGCTTATTCCTAGTGCGTTTCAGGTGTTTTTCAGGGTTTTGCTAGGGTTTCTTGAAGCTTTGAGGGGGACGGGTCTGTTTTTGCTTGCAGGACGGCCCGAGGGTACCGCCGATCGTCGCACGGCCTGCAGGAGGCCATTCTGAGTGCGGGCACACAGGCAGGCCCATCGGTTGCTTCGGCTCTCGTGGCTCAGAGCCATTTCGCATCGGGGGCGACCGAGCAGGCGAGACGAAACAAGGAACGACCCTCAAAGTTCCTCGAGGCCGAGCGTTTGTCCTACGTCGCTGCAGGTCGTTTGGCTTTGGCCCACTCGTCGGTTCTCAGCGTCGTCGCTGATGCCGTCCACGTGGGAACGGAGGACTGGCTCAACGTGTTCCTCTGCGACACAACCGAGGACGTGTCTTTCGTGTGCCCGCCGCAGGCCAGACCGAGGGTTGGGTCCCTGCTTTTTCGAGGCGTATTTCGGCCAATTTCTGTAGCAAACCTGGTCGGGGAAAACCATACACTAAACCGCGCCTTAGGTCGACCATACAGTAAACCGTGCCTAGCAAAACCATACAGTAAACCGCGCCTAGAAAAACCATACAGTAAACCTTGCCTAACTCGCTCGGGGCCAGGCTGGCGGTCCTGCCGGGTCCCGGCCATTGCCTTCTAGCAAGACTACAGGGGTCTGGCCCAAAACCATACACTAAACCCCGCCTAGCAAAACCATACAGTAAACAGTCCCTAGGGACACTGCTGGCACGACCTGTCGGTAAACCGGCCCTAATTTTGGACAACGAAAATGATGCCGTTTTTGGACAAAAAATGGCCTCTTTTTTGGCTCTTCGGGCATGATCTGGGACAGGGCTTCTAAGCAACATCTTGACTATTGGTCCTATCTACGAAGTGTAGTATTTCTGATCGCAAAACGTAGAAACTAAGAGCTTAGAAGCAACCCTTCTAGGACACGGCAGCTTAAGGCAGTACAGGGTTTTTCTCTTGCCGTACTAGTAGGGCATCCACTTCTTTTTGCTGCTGTGAGACCCACAGGCCTGAGCAACTCCTGCAGAAGTTACACGACAATCCGGGGGTACGAGTTTTGCCAAAGATTTAAGCAGCAAAGACAAAGCAGGCATCTGCCCTTATTCGTAGTAGGCTGCCAAACTGTTGCCTCTGTCAGGTGAAGAAAGGGACTGCCATCACGTCGGAGGACTGGGTCGACATGTGGCAGAACAAAATCACGAAGTTCTTCCAGAAGGCGAGCTCCAAAGGTCGGTCGAAGGACAAAGTTTCCGGGGGCTACAAGGAGCCGGACAGGCTGGCCACTCAGGAGTGGCTGCGAGACATGTCCCACAGCCTGGCGGTCGTCGGGTGGGGCTGGTCGTGCTTCCGACGGACGAGCGAGGACAAAAGGCCGCTCGTCATGGTCCTTTGCACGGACCAGGAAGCAACCCAGTTGGCGGCCGTGAACTATCTGAAATTCGGCCGTTCGTTGTTCGTTGAGCATATCAACGACCCGGCCCATCGTTCGCACAACGACGTTCACCTGGCCATGGCGGCGGCGGGCCTCTTGACGTTCAGCATCGTGTCGATCGGGCTGTACAACGTTCGGTATGGCCCCTGGAACAAGGGCACGTGGTTCGGCAAGATCCAGACGACGGCCGACGAGATGAGCCGCTCCATGCAGCCGTCGGACCCCCTGCTCCTGTCGTTCTTTCCCGACATTTTGTCGGACGAGGGCCGTTCGCAGGAGGAGAACACCGACGCCTCTCGGAGGGCCTTTCTGCAGTCGCTCCCCAACAGGTCGTTCGTGAGATGCAAAGGCAGCAAGGCCTCTCAGTCTCGCTTCAACAGTCTCTCGACGGCCCACGCGGAGCTCGACAGGGACTGGTCGGCGTTCGCCCTCGTGATGGTCGTCCTGTGCGTCTCCGAGGGCTGGAGCAAGACGGCGGCCGACCTTTGGTCGCCTGTCTGCGGCGTCGCCGACACGACCGGCACGAGCAGGGCAGCCGCCAAGTCGGCCGCTCGTAAGGCTCTGCAGCAGCAGCGAGGCCGTTCTGTGAACACCTTGCACGGGATGACGATGTTTGCTTGCAACCAGGACAATCGCTCACTGGCCCGGACCGTCTACTTCGTGCTGGAGCCAGAGAACGTTCGCTGCAGCCACATGCTGCAGGAGCTCAGGTCGTCCGAGGCCACCGTGGAGCAGTACTCCAAGTGGGCTCACTGGTCCTACATGGAGGTCGCTCGCCAGCACGTCGCCAAGCTGTCGGACCTGGCCGCTCTGCAGCGGATCGGCCTTGACATGTCTATGCAGCTGCCGAAAGAGGACGTGCTAGAGGCCTCGCTGGTGTGGCAGGATGCGGTCGCTCGCAGAGTCGCGAAACTCACTCAGAGACTCTTGCGATATCGGTGCGGCAGCCAGCTGGGTTCGACGAACGGCTGGGGAGCTTCAGCCGGCTTGCTGCACGAGTCTGCTGCCCTGCGACAGTCCAGCCTAAGGTTTCTCGAAGAGGTCGACCGCACGGTCCAGCGTGTGCAGGCCGAGGGCTCCTTGGAAGCGAAGCTCCTCCTGGACGGGCACCCCGCCACCGCCCCCGTGATGAACATGTTGCTCTGCGAGTTGAGGCCCTTCGTGGAGATTCCTTCGGAGACGATGGAGTGGCTTCGCCGTTCGTGGAGTGGGCTTTTGAACTCGAAGCTCGTCGAAGATGCGAACAAGGTCCAGCGAGAGGCGGAGCAACGGAACGGCACCGCGAAGACGCTCGGTCGCCTGGAGGGCTGGCACGGCCTGTCGCGGAAGAAGCTCCTCGAAACCTACCAGAGAGCCGAGGTACCGAGCGGCCGCATGGCGACTGTGCCTACGACGTTCGAGGCCGACCGGTGGTTCGTGCGGCCGAATCGAAGCCGCACACAGAGCAGTTCGTCCACGGCCCCCCCTGTGGATGATGCGACGAACCTGGCCGACCAGACCATCGAGGACGAGCTTCTGGCAGGCGTCAGCCTTGCGAGGACGTGGGCCTCTCCCACACCGGAGTCGGAGCAGGACAGGCTGGCCGGGTTCTCGCTGCTCGCGAAGGTCGTCAAGGAGAACCTGGACTGGTCGTGCGCGGAGAAGGGCTGGTGGGCAACCTTGGCCCCTGAGGCCCATGCCCTGCAGTTCGCAAATGGCCCGCCGTCGTACGTCGTTCGCAGCTACAAGCGAGCGGCTCTCGTGTGGCCAGGAAGAGTGCAGACTTCGCCAGCCGGAGACATGGTGTGCTTGGAGCTGGACAACCCTGGTCTGGGATGGGTCCATCTTTTCGACGAGGCCGTGCAGGTTCTGGACCTCGTGGCGACCTCCCCACAGCGTGGCCTGTCCCACCTATTTGCATATTGTTATGTCATTTATCTTGCTTCCGGGTGGGTTTTTTGCAGTAACTCTTCACTCTGCTAATTGATTGCTAGGTCCTAAACCCTAAAAGCACAACCAGCGAGCCCTTTACAGTCGATTATGTGCGTTTCAGCATTTCCTAGGTGCAGCTCAGGTGCGTTTCAGCTTTTTCGTAAGGTTTTTTGCACAGTTGCTCAGTTTTGAGACTTTCATGCACGAGCCAGAATCAGTCGTTTAAGCTGCAGTGCCGAAGCGTAGCTTGCCAGGTCTTTTGTCTCTCGGTGAGACCCGGGCTCTGGGTGTGGTCTTCCGGGTGCAGGCCAGGCGTTCTTTGCTGGACCACCACCAGCACTACGGCTTTGCCGGCGTGCCGGAGTGGGGTCTTCGACGGCTCGCAGAGGTCAAGGGATGGCCGGCCGAAGCTGAAGCTCAAGCGACGGACCACGAGGAGGACGACCGCCTGGCCGTGGTTTGCCTCTTGTCACTCGAAGCAAGTCTGACGAAGGACGAAGTGGTCGATCGTCTCTTGTTTCGCCAGGATGCGGCCGCATGGGCGAGCGAGGCAGGCGACCTGGATCTCACAGACATCGTTCGAGACACCATGCTCGCAGCGGATCAGGACGTCGCCCTCCAGCAAATTGCCAAACGAAAAGCCTCGCACGAGACGGCCGTGGAGATTCGCAAGCGGGTCTCGCGGACGTTCGAGTCCGTCGCCAAGACCTTCGCCAGCCGACCAGAGTACAAAAAGGCGGCGGCAGCTCGCAAGGCCAAAGAGAAGCAGCTCCAGCAAAAGCAGAAGGAGCATGCCGCTGCGATGAAACGTTGTTATGCCACTCTCAGCTCGGACATCGACAAAGCCGTCAAAGTCGCCGTGCCCACAGCCGTTCGAGTGTACCGGGACGACTACAACGGTCGCTGGCGTCTCACGTACAGCAGTTCGTGGGCGTATGCGACCCGCAGCATTTCGTGGACGGCCGTAGGCAGTAAAAATGCTGCAGCAGAGGTCGTCAGGCAAGGGTGGCTTTGGTCGGAGTCCTTTGACGGCACGACTATGCCGGAGGAGGCGGCGGCGATGTTGCAAAAGATGACGGCCTGAAGCCAGGAAGTTCGTCAGGACGTTCGATGCTAGCCAGGAGCCCGAGCATGCACTTGGCCTTTCCGCAAGTTTCACTGTGGAGTAAGCGGCCGTCAGAGTTGAAGCGGAAGACGAGCACCGTGCCCGCGGAAACAGCCTCCCTTCCTGCCTGCTTCAGCGAAAGCGCGAGTTCCTGAGAATGAAGTTCACAACCCAACCCTGCTTCGCTCAGGTCAGAACAGTTCAAGCTCCGGCCATTCGGCCATTCCTGCCGTCTGCTCGAAGCACGAGGCGGGCAGCGTGGGGACTTTCAGTGTCGTTTTGAGCGAGCCGTTGGAGTCTCCCGAGGCCTATGTAAGAGTATGGCACTTAGAGGAGGTACGTCTGCAAACTAGCTTAAGGGCGTCTGAGTCTGACAGCCGTAGCAGCAGTTCTTGTTCGCTTTGCCCTGTGCTTCTCCGTGTCCAAGTGCTTTCTTACGAGCCAGTTTGTGGTAGCACAGCAGAAGCCATGGGGCGAGCCACTTTGGCCGAGACGGGGGGCGTTCGGCCGCCGAGCGCCTGGGCCTTGTTTTGCTCGTACGTCGCTCGCGAGGGTCTCACGGACGATCGAGCGGCCCGATTCCGCATTCGCGGGAAGAGGATGCTGCGAAACAAAGCAGCCATGTCGGTCAAGTGGACCCTGGGATTCAAGATTTAGCAGATGATGTGGGTTGAACGTCTCTAAACAAAGATACCTATCCCTGTTGTTTCCACTGTCGAAAGGTTCAGGATTTAGGGTCACCCTAGCACCTTCAAACCGGAAGCCGTGAACCCTTGACTTGAAGCCTTAAACCCTAAACCCACAAAGCCGAACTTGGAACCCTTTCAGTACCTTTATGTGCATTTCAGATGTTTTCTAGTGCATCTCAGGTGTTTTTCAGCTTTTTCCTAAAGGGTTTGCAGCCGAGCGGGTGGGTTTGTGCTTCGCTTCTCAGAATTAGGCCCCAGGATTTTCGCATCTTTTGAGTCGCAGCTAGGACTACAGCAATACCACTAAGGAAGTCTTCCACAGTTGCAGTTTTAGCCGCGAAGCCATAGTGACACTGCCAAATTGCTTCCAGAATCCAAGCCCAGCAGCAAGCCGTAGGAACCTCAACAGATCTAGGAGCAAGAGTCTTACTTTTCCCACACCGTCCCATAAAGTCTAAAGCTTTCCCAGACCACAAAAAAAGCAAGGACGTCCGGGAGAAGTTCGCGGCTCTCGCTGAAGCGAAGTACAAGGACAACCGAAAGAAGGCGGAGGCTTACAGAAAGGCGCAGTCGTTCGGCGATACTTCGCCGAAGGACTTCCAGAACGACGTTGGTCTGGAGGTTGCTCAGGAGGCCGTCGCCGCTCGACAAGCAGAAGCCTTGGAAGCCGACCTTGCGACCAGAGAAGTGCAGGGGGACTCTTGGACCTGGACTTTGGGTCGTTCGCTTCGTAACTTGGAGCCAGTTGGCCGTGGGGCGACCGGCGAGGTCTACTTCGCCACCTTCGAAGGCCAGCCGGTAGCTGTGAAGCTGACGAGAGGCCGAGGACTGCAAGCAGCAGCCAGGGGCATCGACGTTCAGGAGGAGTTCGCCGTGCTGGCGGCCCTGAGCCAGCACCCCAACGTGGTTCGAGCCTTCGCCGTTGTCACTAGCTCGCTGGGGCGGCCGGCGTTGGTTCTGGAGAGGGCGTCCGAGAGCCTGCATGCGAAAGCTCGAAGGCTGAAGGACGATCGGCTAGAGAACTCGCCTGCCGGGAGGGCCTCGCTGCTGCGACTCTTTTCGCAGTTCGTCCTCGGCCTCTCTTTCGTGCACGGCCGCTCGGTCTTGCATCTCGATGTGAAGCCCGCCAACATCCTGATCTTCGATGACAAACGAGCTGCCCTGGCCGACTTCGGCCATGCAGAGGGAGTTTCCGACAACGGTTGCTCTGTCGTGGGCGAGCGTGTGTACACCCTGGACTTTCGCTGCCCGGAGTGCCTCATGGCCGGCGGCCAGAAGGCATGGTTGCTGGCAATGCTAAACCCCTAAAATCCCAGAACGTAGGCTCAAAGTTCCCACCTTTTTAAGATCCCTGCTCTGCCCAAACCTTGTAGTTAGTTGACTTCGGACAATAGGCCCAGGGGCCCCCCAGCCTCACTCGCAGAAACCCTGCCAGGTCCGGGTGAAGTTCGCAGCTGACGTCTGGGCGGCCGTGGTCACGTTGTTCGAGATCTGCTGTCCCAGAAAGGCCTCGTTGTGGACAGTCCCGCCGGGGACGTTCGTGCGGGAGACGGAGGAGCAGACAGCTAAGGCCATTCGGGAGATGGCCGCTGCGAAGAGCTCCAAGCTCATGCCGTACGACCAGACAATGATGGACGTCGTGGAGAAGACGTTCGTGCCGGCAGACAGACGACTCTCGTTGCCGGGCTTGCTTCGGATCCTGGACAAGGATCCGTCGGCCTCCCGGTCTGTCGGCAGGCCCGCCCTCGCCGACCGACATTCGTGACTGGTCGGTCGTGGACCGCACTGTTTTTGTTTCTCGTGGACGGCCGCAACAAGTGTTCGAGACTCTCGGGTCTCTCGCTGCAGACAAAAATGGAGCTTGTGCAGTGAAGCAGGTTCTGTCGCGGTTTCCTAAAGTCGCTAGCCGCACGTCAGCTGCAACTGCCCCGTTTAAACCCTAAACCCTAAAACCCTTTGCTTGGGCAGGTGCTCCATCGACGACTTCTTCCTCACGTTTGCGGCCGCAGCCCCCCCTAGACCCTAAACCTCCGCGACCCCTAAGCCTATAAGGCACTCCGTCGTTCGATAATAAACTTATCTAAACTCACCTGGCTTGGAGTTCCTAAAACCGAGCGAAATAAATAATTTGCACAACTGAATCCCAATACGTGCACAACAATACGTCATTATTATGTATGTATCCAAGCCTACAACTACTACCTTATCCCAACCGCCTCCTCTCCTCACTGTCTCCATTTTTCTACCATTTTTCCCACCAGCCCGAAGGACCCATACTGCAGCACAGAGCCGGCTTCCCAAGAAATTGCTGGCACAGCAAAATCAAGCATGCAAGCGACAACGGCACCGGGCCCATTGATATTTTTTCGAGCAGCATGCACACAGCCTCGCACAGTTTTCCACAACCCTAAACGTTTTCCAGTCTCGACAGTTCTGAGGCCCAAAGATTGCAGAAACACCTACTTCAACACTGAAAAACAGGATCACACAGAAGTCCACACAGAACCACCGTGCGGGTTGTCGCTTTTGACCCATCTTCGCCAGCAAAAGCGGCAACATCTGAATAATTTGACCTTTCCCATGGCTCTAAAAACCGGCATCACAAAATGACTGCTGAAACAGTTGAATATCACTGCACTTTTGCATCCAGTTTTGCACTGCTCCGATCACACGACCCCCTAGGCCAAAACCTGTCAGTAAACCGGCTCTACCCTAAACCCTGCTTATTAGTCCGCCCAATATACACGGACCAGGGGCCTTCGCGCATCTTTGCCTTAAGCTCCGAACAAAGAGAACCCGATATCCTTTGATTAAGATATATACCTTAAATGATAAAGGCCTCGATATTATGATTTAAGGCATATTCCTTGATTAAGGGGTCTTGGGTTCTCTGGGAATATGCTTTAAAATCTCAGCTTGGAAGCAGGCTCAGGGTTTAGTGGGCTCTAGGGTAATGTAGAGGCCTCCATAATTAGAATAGGATTTTGGGGGGTTCCTCATTTTAATTATGGTAGAATATACCCCAAAACCCTATTCTACCTACTAAGGCCCCTATCTTGCAGGGTTTAAGGTATTTAGGATTGTTGAAGGCTGAGGGATGTTGTTCACAGGTGTTGGGCTGGGGATCTTCAGCGCCCTAAGAAATAGAATCCCAAAGCAGCGAATCCCTAAACCCTAACCCTAAACTCTATAAACCCTAAGCCCTAACTTTAAACCCTATAAACAATAACTCTAAATCCTGATCCCTAAACCCTAAACCCTCAACTCTAAATCCTGATCCTTAAACCTTAAACCAATCCTTTGAACCCAAAGCCCTTGCGTGAGTCCTTAATAACAAGAAGGAACGCCTACAAGACCCGTGCCAGACCCCCATGGGCGTGCAACTTGAACCACAAATCCTGGACACTATTCGGGTCCGAGCTGTTGGGAATCATATAATATCCCCTTATAATGCCCATGTGGGGGTTTCCGAAAATATGGGACCCTAATTTAATAGAGTACCCTAAATAGTAGGAGCCTTATTATAAGGACCCCTACATAAGGTACCCCTCATTTTCGGAAACTCCCAATGTAGGTTTCGTATATTGTTTTATGCCCTCCAAGCCTATTCTTTTTTTTTGCAACCCTTGCAGATGCTTTTGTTAAAGAAGCCTTTCTTATTGCTAAAGTAGCTTACATATACTCCAGGTCTCTATCCGGGCATAGGATTTGATGTTGGCTTGGTTATGTGGGTGCTTACACCGTTCCTCAGGGGTTTGCATGGTTGTATAGGGATTCGAACAGATATCATTCATACACCCTAGCCCCTGAACCCCAAACACACTTGTTCAGAGGGCTTTTACACATAACTGACTTGACTAACGATGACCTTTAGCATCAAAATAGCCCTAAAGCCTTGTATAGTGTAGTCTTTGGGCCCAAAAGCCTTAAGATAGAAGTCCTTTGAGGGTAAGACATACCCTCTTGAAACAGCCCGCCCAAAAGCCTTATATAATAGTGTCTTTGGGCCCAAAAGCCTTCAAATATCAGCCCTTTGAGGGTAAGGGTGGTGCAAGAAGCTGCTCAGAACCCGAGTCTGATTCTTCAAAAAGCTAGGTTTAGGGTTTAGGGTTTAGGGTTTAGGGTTTAGGGTTTCCCTGAACGCAGAAACCCGAACCCAGAATCCCTGAACAGACATCCAAACCCAGAAACCCTGCAAACCTGAACTCCGTTTCCGTGCACAGGTGTTCGCCGTCGGGCTTCCATGTGAGTGGCACAGCAGACCCAGGTCCTAAAACGCCTAGAGACCCTGAGAGACAACACACCCTAAACCCTAATCCCAAGGGTCCAAAGGACCCAATAATCAGGTACTCAGGTTCCGGATAGTAGTCATGTACTATGGAGGCACGCTATGTTGAAGCCGGAACCATGAACATTTTCTGGACCCGAAATCGCGCCCTCGAAGCCACCAGCCTTGCACGCGTCCCGATACGTACTTGGTGGAACCCGGTGGGTCCGAGCTCTTCTCTACGGTGGGACCCAAATCGGGCTCGGTGGGACCCGGTGGGTCCCAGCTCTTCTCTACGTGGGACCCAAATCGGGTTCGGTG